ATACACATATATTTACATTTAAACTATAGGAATTTTAATTTGTATTTTATACACACACATATAAAAAACAGATATACACACATATATTTGAAGCTTGAACAAGGTTTGGAACGTTGGGGGCCCCATTTATATGCAGATTTCCCCATTGCTATCGCAGTGTGCACCAGTGCTTTAAGTATCTACTTCAAACATTGCCTCCGATCATATCCTGTGAGCAGCTTGTGTCTATAGTAACAGCTAGCCCCTCACCCAACCATCCCCCTAAGCAGAGAGGAAAACTGACCAGTGTCACTAAGTGTTTTAAACAGACACAACACGAGCTCAATGCAACAGGAGAAAACAAATCTGCATAGAAATAGGTTCGCACAGTTCAAATCCTCGAAGTGTAAGGGCTGAGTCTAAGTTGCATTGGGAATTTTCGACACTGCAGGAAGTTGGCACCCGTAGCCCCTATGTCATTCAAGAGTGGACTGTCTGAGGGGCTTCAGAGGGTTGTCAGGAAAGTGGGGCCACTCTATGAACCTTCACACTTGTTTGGTACAGGACACTCTAAGAGGGGAGAGTCTCTTACATGATTATTTGAGCATTGTTGCTTTATAGGAATACCAAGAAAAAACGCAATCTACTTCTAAATTTGGACATTAAGGCTTATTAGTGGATACCACTAAACATTGCTAAACCAACAATATGCAAACACAGTTCTAAGATTTTTTTGGACGGCAAAGACACAAAGTCCATAAATGTTTGCTACTGTCCCTATTCTTATTGTTAATGAACCCTAAGAAACGTCTGAGAATCCTCAGAATGTTATATATGAGGAATTACTGTCACTTAAGCCTACGGTGTTACTTAATGAGGGCCAATCACGTTAAGCAACACTGAGACACTGAAGCAATCGTTTTTCGTCAAATCGTGCAGCTCATTCCCAGCGTGAGAGGAGAGAGATCTCTGGAGGGAGGAGAGAGCTCGAGGAGGGACAGAGAAGCTGGCACATCGGCAGCCGCTGGCCGCAGAGCCGGCCTCACCAGTTTTTCAATGAAATCGTCAACGGCTTGACCGGCCTTCACCAGAAGCACAATCCGCCGAGGCTTCTTCAGCTTGGAGACCATTTCCTTCAAGGAGTGAGCGCCAACCACTTTGGTGCCCTTTGCCTCCTTGGCCAAGAAATCATCAACTTTGGAGACTGTCCTGTTAAAAGCACAGACCTAAAAGGACAAGAGGGTGCTGGTTAGGGGACATAGGACACAATGACATTTCCATTCAGCCCAAAGCTCGAGGGAGGTCGGACCCTGCCTTTTCCTCCTCTTTGTTATCAAAACTCCGAGAGCTTCCAAGTACCAGCCGGGCACTGCATAGTGAAGGCACCTCAGTAGGCTGCAGGGAGTGGAATCTAAAGCGAAGGTCAACTGCCCTGGGCACGTTACACTGGGGTCTGGGACTAAGTGGAACTCTGAATCAGATCCAGAAACCAGGCAGCTCCGCAAGGAGCTCTGGGGCTGCCACTGGTATGCCTGCACCTACACCAGACTAGGATTCCCGCTCAGGAGGCTCACATTCCCTCTCATCTCCCTGACAGCAGCTCCACAGCTGCAGACACAGCAGGGTCTGTCTCCGTCGTCCTCTCCTCCACTGAACACCCAAGCCAAGCCTGTGGCTGCAACCCTCTAGGGCAGCGCAGCACTGCCCCATAGGGTTTCCAAGGCTACAATCGCCACAGAAGCCCATTGCCCAGCTTCCTATGGGGCAGCTGGTGGGCTCGAACCACCACCTCGTGGTTACCAGCACAGCTTGTAACCACTGCCCCACCAGAACGCCTTCCTCTACTTAGGGCTCTGAACCCTTCCGTCAGGCTGCAAGCCTTCCAGACCTAACCATTCAGCAGGCCGCCTCTTTTTCAGACTCACAGAGCCGTCCCTCCCACACGGAAAGCAGAGTGCTCCTCCTTCCCACACAACCCCCGCTTGCAGCCGTGGGCGGAGCACTGTGTACGATAAGCCGAGAGAGGGTCTAGATTACAAAGGAGCTCCGCTCCTTCACACCCTCGACGGCCCCTCCAGACTTACCACAAAACCGTGGTCATTCATGTTCAGAATGAGGTTCTGGCCCATGACGGCCAGTCCAATCAGTGCAATATCAGCTCTGGAAGACGGGGAAAGAGGAGGGCACGGAAAAACGGGTCAGTACCACTCAGCCCCGCCTAGGAACCCCCAACTTTCTCGCTCTTGAAACTCTTGCTCCGGCCCCCACCCCCCTAACTCCCCGATACAACCTAGACCCCAGCTAATGGCACCGACGCCACTTCAAGGAACCCGAAGCTCTCGTGCCAGGATCGAGACCTGCACTGAGGCGTTATACACTGCGTGCATCTCTTCTCGGATCCTGCTCTATCCGGTCATTAGGTTTTATGACACAGGGCCGTCTCCCTGAGCCCCGCGGAGAGGAGCCTGGCTGTCTGGGCCCCGCGCGCGCCTCCGGGGTGGGAGGGTCGAGGCCGGCTCTCCCTCGGCGTCCCGGGCGGCGCCTCCGGCTCCCCTCCGCCCTCGCGGGCAGGGGGCCCGCCGGGCTCGGGACCGGCGCTGCGGGGTCTGCGGCCGAGGAGGCTGAGCCCTGGGGCTCCGGGCTCCGGGGCCCACGCGGTCCGTCGCAGGGGTCCCTGGGGGGGCTGAGCCGACACGGGAGGCTCCCCCCCTTCCTTGCGCTCAGAGAACTTGGCAGAACCCTCGCCCCAGAAAGTTGTTCGCGCCCGGCGCTCGCAGGCGGGTCACTCACTCGGCCATGGCGGCGTCGGTCAGAAGAGAGCCGAGGAGTCCGGTGGAAGAGGGTTCGGAGCTCGCGGGCGACGGAGACTAAGAGTGCGGCTCCAGCTCGCCCCAGGAGTCTACAACCGCTCACCGTCCGGCTTTTCTCCAACGGCCAATCAGGAGTAAGGGGCGGAGGGCTACGGCCAAGCCATTGGTCGGCTCCAGCGTCTGTTAGACCACCTGAGGGCGTGAGGACCCGCCCACTCCCGGGGCCCGATCAGTAGATCGCCGAGCACATCGACGTCCTCGCCCAGCGCGGCTGGGGGCGCGGCGGCGAGGGCAGGCGTGGGCAGGCTCGGCGGGGCCGTGCAGCGGGCAGAGGCCGCGCGTGACGCCCAGGCTCCTGGTCTCCGCTCCAGGACAACGAGTGACGACTGGGGTAGAGATGGTAACGGTGTCGCGCTTGAGTGCACCCGGCACCAGCACACTGTGGTCCAGGCCCTCGGGGGCTCCGTGGGCGTCCAGGGTCGGCGGCCCCGGACTGCCTGTACCAGGTCTGGGAACGCAGGCCTCGGGCCTCGGGCTGACTGACCACTTGGAGGGGATCCCAGCCCGAGTGATCGCTTTACTCCGAAAGACAGCCCTACCGCCCCTTCCCACCTCGCCTCCCCCTGCCCCACACCTAGCAGGCCGTCCTAAGACATTGGACTAGATGGGGCCCAGGTCCTGCTCCGCACACAGCGATTGACCAGCGACGTTGGTCACTACATAAGGAAGATGGAAGAAGAGTCGATGCGTTTGAAGTGTGCTGGTGGAACATAGGGGCAGTGCCATGGACTGCCGAAATAACCAGTAAATCTGTCTTGGAAGAAGTCCGGCCAGAATGCTCCTTCGAGGCAAGGGTGGTGAGACTTAGTCTCGCATACTTTGGACACGTCATCAGGAGAGACCAGTCCCTGGAGAAGGACATCGTGCCTGGTAAAGCAGAGGACGGATGGCTACCGTGCTGGAACAATGGGCTCCAACAGAAAGGCTGTCGAGAGGACGGCGCAGGACCGGCCAGCGTGTTTCATTCCGTTGGGCATAGGGTTGCAAGAGTCGCCACTGAATCGGTGGCACCTCACAACAATACACAGCCAACTCCTGCCAACTGGCCATCTCCCCAGGCTTCCCTTTGTCCCCTGCTGGTTTAGACGACCACCCCCATGGGCCAGAACCCAGCTGGTCCCTGCTCTCTTTTCCGTCTCCCTCATTAGACCAAGAAGCCTGAGAGGCTAGGAACCATGCGGTCAAGAAACCGCAACTTTGAAAGGGAGAGGCTCTATTCTGAAAGAAAAGGGGCAAAGGAAGTACTGTAATAGGGGGCGGGGCGGAAGGCTTTCCTCCGTGGCCAGCCGGCTCTCCTTAAAGAGGGTTGGCTCAGGCTGAGGGTGGGCCAAAGACCCGGGACCTGGGGGTAAATGGAAGCCTGACCAAAGTTTGGTTAGCAAGTATAGTTTCCCGTTGATCAGTGGACACAAGCAAGTCCGCTAGTTTAGGGGCAAGGAATGGGCATTTGTAGGGCCTGTGTCTGACCTGGTCCTAAGTAATCAAACGGCCTTCTGGGGTTCTTGTCTAAGTCCTTTGGGATCCCACTCATCCTCAACTCCTAGTAATCCTAGTGGACAACTTCCAACCATCCGGATTCAGGGTTTCCAGGACAGTAACCTTCAGGGGAAACTGCCAGGACTCTCTCCGATGGAAACCAACTTTTTGGTTTACAGCTGAGCACTTAAGAACTCCTGGGTCCCCAGGGCTCCAAGGGCATTCAGGAAGGGAACTACTTCCAGTGAGTCACTTGACTGAATGCAGAGGGTGGAGAGGCAGCTAACCATTCCTGTTTTCCACGATCAAAGGGGCTCAAGCAAAATCCACCCATATCAATGTGTATACCATGAATTTCTATCACGCTCCATTTGCCTTGCAACAACGATTGTCAATAGTCAACTAGGATCTACTGCTACTACTAATAACTATTGTCATCGAATCGTTGGTTTATGCCTTTTTTTTCTAATCATTTTATTAGGGGCTCATACAGCTCTTATCACAATCCATACATACATCAATTGTGTAAAGCGCATTTGTACATTCATTGCCCTCATCATTCTCAAAACATTTGCTCTCCACTTAAACCCCTAGCATCAGCTCCTCATTTTTCCCCCTCCCTCCCCGCGATTTATACCTTCTTAAAGAGGGGACCGATTTGAGGTGGCCCAAAACAGCCCTAATTCATACCCGACTTCTGTATTCACAGCAACCTCTTTCACTCTAAAAGTGGCTTTGGTTTTGATCACAGGTTATATTGGCACTCTAGTTTAAAATACTATGTACATCTCGTTGTCCTTTAAAAAAAATCCAGATGCTTTCTTGAGGTGCAGTTGACATGCTGCACAATTCCACGTCCTAAGTCTATAGCTAGACTTCTAGTTTTGCAGCTGTAGTTGGGTAAACATCAGCACAATCGGTTTGAGAACACTCTCATCACCCCAACATGTGCCCTCAGGCTTGCCTGTAGTCAATCTCAGCGCCGACCCCCCAGTTCCAAGCAACGGCTGGTCTGCTTTCGGTCTCTGGAGTTTTGTGTCATCTAGAAATTCCACATCAATGGAATAATAAGCTATGTAATCATCTGGTTTAATTATGTAATCATCGTAGGCTAACACTTTTGAGGTTCACTCAGGCTGTTGCATGTCCGAGGCGTTCATACCTTTTTATTGCCGAGCAGTGTTCCCTTTGTGCAATTATCCCACAATTTGTTTTTTCATTCACCTGCTGATGGACATGTGGATTGCTTCCAAATTTGGACTATTAGAAATCATTCTGTGTTGAACATCCGTGTACAATAGTTGTGTGGGCATATGTTTTCATTTCTCTGGGGCAGATACTTAGGGGTGAAATTGCTCTAAGTGTGTGTAAGAATGGTTTGGGGACATCCCATGGTCTCTGACTTCCCAAGGGGAAGAAACAAACAACATCAGCCCAAGGCTGATTTCTGTGAGGTGGCAATCAGCCATGCCTCTACCCTCCAACCTTCTTTAATAATATGGATGCCAACCATCCCTATCTACTTCTCTACTGTGTTTGATAATTCATAGCAATGGCCACACAGAGCTCACAAACAATACTCAAGACTATGGAATTGGTTAAGGTAATTAACAAGTTACAATTCAGGATAAAAATGCTCAGGGATACAGTTCTCTAATCAGGAGCATCTCTCCTAAGCCATGCCTGCAGGAATGGCTCTCCCTGGTCCTTGGCCTCTCAACCACTTGGTTCCTTGGCCTCTGTTAGTTAGGACACTAGTGTACAGTTCCTTTAGCACTGCCAACGAATGCCCCGAAGGCATGCAACTCCACTTTAAAAAAGTGCTCATCTCCAGCTCCATCTGGCAAATCTAACTTCCCTGAGGAACCCTACTGGGCACGTGAGCCTCCTGCCCCAAAGCACTCCGCTTTACCGGCCCTGTGGGGCAAGGAGCTCATCACTGTGTCTCAAGCTCTGGGTTCCACGGCCACCATTCCTCTGCGGCTCTCCTGGTGCCACCGCTCACTGCCCGCTGGATCCAGGGGTTCAGCTGCAGGAATCTCAGCATTTAAGTGATGTGCTCCTTCCCTGGCTCTTCTCACTTGATGGTAGTTAGAGCCCCACCCCCCTTTCTGCTTCTGAAATGACTCATTTTATTTTTTCAAAATCACTTTATTGGGAGTAAATACAGATAGCATATAATCCCATAGTTCAATCACATCAAGTGCATTGTACAATTGCTGCCACAGTTTCAAAACATTCTTTTCCTTCTTGAACTACTTGACATAAGTTCCCTTTTACAACCCCCACCCCTACCATTGTGGCCCCCCAGAAACCCTAATTCTATTTGCTGTCCCTATAGGTTCATCAATCCTGGGTTTCATATACCGAAAAACAACAAAATTTCAAGAGGGTGACCTCCAATGACATAATACATCTGATATAAACCCCAATATAAGCAAAAGACAAAAATATAAAGAAAATGTTGAAAATCATATCAGGCCTAACATGCCTCAGAAGGGGGATCAACTGACAAGGTTTTAACCATTCAAGTCCGGTTTAATCCTTTTGATCTTCTGTAATCATTTTGTTAGGTTTCTCAAGTGGGTAAGACCTCGGTTCTTTACTTCGCACGATGAAAGAATTCACACCAAAGCCCGTTTTGTAATCCAAGTGGGTTTTCCTTGCTTTCATTTTCCAAGTGGGTTTTTATGAAGGATATGTGGCAGTTACATAATCTCCTGTCAACTTGCGAAGGGGTGGAGTCTAGCCTGTCAATCGGGTCGCATCTTGATGACCTCATTTGGAGGCGCGGCAGAGAAAAACAGCTGACTGGGGGCCAGACCCACACAGACTCTGCTTCATCTCCCTGGTGACAAGCCACATGGAACTGTGCTAGGGCCCTGAAGCTGAAGGAGCCATGGTGACCCACGCCACATTGAGATCCCTCCACTGCCACTGGATCCCCAAGAGGTTCCACTGGCCTGTGATCTTCCTGCATTCAGCATCATTGCATGTGTGAAGAGGAATTTATAGATGGGTATCTGACATAACCCTAGAGGTTAAGAGCATGTGGGTCCAGAGGCTGTGGGCCCCAAGTCGGCCTGGACCCTCACCCTCAACCTGCTGCTGACTAGGGGCTGAGTAAGAGAGCATGGTGGGGGCCAGGACTAGGCGGGGGAGAGACCATCCCAGAGCATGATCCCTTCCTTTATTCTAGCCCACCCCCTGGCTGGGAGAAGGTATGGTTGTAGGTTTTGGTTGACCCCATTGGCTGGGTTGATGTCATGAGCCTGGTAGAGCTGTCTTCCTCTTCCTCAAACACCATGAAGATCAGCCAACAATGGTTGCAGCATTACATTGACAAGGACCTAACAGTTTCATGGGGGGACCAGCCTCCCCACAACCAAATGGGTCCAAGGGGCAGTTGTGTAATTGAGGGGTGTGTTAGACAGGGTTCTCTAGAGAGAGAAAACCAAATTGCTGATAATTTAATATATTTATTTATAAAGATAATTAGATATATAACAAGAAATGAACTGTTAAATCATACACAGATAAATATAT